AATAAGTTCATAGGAACTTTCTTACAAAACAAAATGTTTTTTACTTGTTAATTAAGATAATTGTAAAGAATTTCAATGATTATTTTTATATTATTTGAAAAACTAACTCAATAGTGAAGTTGTGTCTTATCTTAATTAATCATAAATTTTTCTTATTCATTAATCTCTTTCAAACAATAATTTTACGTGTCCATTGGTACCTGAAAGTGTTAATTTTAAGTTAATTGCAAATCCATATTCACGATTCACGTATTCGCCATAGTTTTAATGAGTTAAAGAGTTATTCTTAAAAAAATACTTAGTTTTACTTCTTTTTTATTTTTTTATTTTTTTATTCTAACGAATTTTCAAATAAAATAATAAAACGCTGCTCTGGAACATGAAATAATACTCAACATTTCGAAAAAAAGTAGTAATGGAAAAAGAAAATAATATAATAAAAGAAAATGACATAATAGAAAAAATAATTTCCTAAAAATCCTATAACATTTATATAGCTTGATATTAAAAATAATTTTCACAACCACACAATACATATTCCGTACTTAATCAAAGTAAATATTTGTTACTGAAAAACCATCAAAATCAGTCATAATTAAATTAAAAAATATAAATTAATTAGAATAAAAATAAATACTAAATCAGGTATATATAAGTAAAAATCAAAGCCTTGGATTATAAACATCTAAGTTACGCCTCCACGTGGGAGCTAGGGCGTACAAATTGAAAGAATCGACCAATATATAAAGGGGCGTATACTATAGAATTAAATTTAAAAAAATACATGAAGAACGTCCTATATTTATATATTAAAACTATTTCTAAGTATTATTAATATTAATTGATATAATATTTAATTGTGATGTCATCAGTGGGGTAGTATATAAGCGTTGCTGTATCGCCGCTTGACTAGACAACAACGAATCGCGGTCTGGGACGGTTGTATGTAAGTATGCGATTTATTATTTGTATCATCATAAATATATATACAAATATATACATATAGTATATTTTATTAATAAATGTTATATATAATTTGTCGTGGATTTTTTAACAGCAAATTTAACAAATGTAAGGGCATTTTTTCAAGTGTTACCTTCAGCTATATAAAAATGTTGAATTATCACCACCATAATTGCATAATATTTTTTAACTTAAACGAAAATCTACGTAAAGACAAGATCATGTAAATATAAATATCAAATATTTTCAATAAATTGATTTTATTAAATGAATTTCTTTTCGATATATAAGAATTAATAATCCTACAGTTATATATATATTTTTAAATAAATTATAAAACCTTTTGTCACAAATACAAGAGGAAGCTATTTAAATGTTACATTTAGGAATAAACATGCATTGTATTATGAACACGACTTGAAGTTGATGTTAAAATTTAGTGTCAAATAACATTAGTTACGCAAGTTCGGAACAACTTTTAATATAACTAAAATAATTGTGTACATCGGATATTTACCAAACATAACAGTTTTAAACAGCTTCTTTCTTCAATTCAAAAAAATTAATATAATTTATTAAGCTGTTAATTTTAAACACTAAGTTCATTTACGAAAAACATGTATCGGTGTAAAGTAGGACGATCATACATACACCTCTATACTATATACTTTAAATATATAATACTATCTTTATATATCCTTTTTCAAACAAATTATTTCCATATTTTTTTATATATGAACAACCACCGCAGTTCAATTCTTACCCGTTCTTAAATACTTCTGCCATAAGTTTTACTGTTTGTGTTACAGTCGCCTAAAAATAACTTGTTTTGTAAGGTTTGAAAATCTTTAAAAAAGAAAATTATTTAAAAATACTAATATACTAATCGTATATTCCTTAACTAAGATGAAATAAATATGGTGCCTCAATGAAGTAACATCAAATGATGTTCCTATTTTTATTAAACTATTTCTTGTTCCATAAAAGCGGTTAAAACAGATGCTTTGATTTTATATAATACTGTTAAGATACAAAAACTATATATACAATTAGCAACAAAAACCTCAATAATATAGTAAATAGTTAATCAGAAATAACAGGAAATTGAACGTTTTCTTCGCAAATTAAACAACTCGATGTACTAATGACTTTAATCACTAACACTAAGAAGACCCTTAGAATTACTTTCTTATAAATTAACATCATCAATTCCATGTTGTTTATCGCTTTATATTTCTTAAGCTAACTAAAGAAAACAAAATAAGCTGTTAGCTACAACCTCATAAGAATATAGTTATCATTAATAATCTCGTATCGATATTAATGCACTAATTTTAACTAAAAAGAAAATAAATAAGACATCTCATCTGCCCGCGATCACGGTTGTTGAAAAGTAGCCGAAACGTCGGCAGTATGTAGTTTATAGTCAAAAATAAAAAACACGTAGTAAATCCGAAAATATTAGTTTCATTTAAAAAAATATACTTTATCACCGTACGTCAAACTCATCCAATCTTTATCATTTTCAAGATGATTATATCAATATTAAAAATAGATATATTCGACCAAATTTAATACAAGCATATCCAACTATGATACCAGACCAACATTTTTCAATTCAACGTCCCACAGAATTTGTAATATCAACTTATTCATAAAAATAAATCATTGTACTAAAAATGTATTAGAATTTCAGAATACGATGTTACCTTAAAATCACTCAGAAATTGAAATCCCGTATGATTTTCCATTCTTATTATGCATATCGAAAGTTGCAAAGCCTTTTAATACATAATATTTATTTAAATTCAAATATTTGCTACACAGTAACTTTTCGTTTTGTTGTGTTGTAATGCATTTTGGCATTTTCATAAATAAGTTAATATTAAAATGTGATTAGTAGTTTATTTGTGTTTTTGTCAAACTAATACAGATATTTATATAAAAAAATAAACATTTCAAGTGATATTCTAATAATAAAATATATTTTTAAACATTTTACAAAACAAAAAGGATGTTTCATAGCTCCGCTCGCGATGTCTGTTACTGGCAAGACATGCGAAGCTATTGTACAGATGAATGCAACTTCGTTAAAAAATGGTAGCAGTGAAAAATAATAACTGTTTTACATAGAAATGTTTCCGCGAGATGTTTGAGATTCATGTTATCTTAAACGTAAATTCAAATTAATTTTAACATCTCTATTTATCACGTGTTCGGAAAAAAATAAAAAAGATGAAAACAAAATTTATAAGGCAAGGACCTTAAAATAAAACCTAGTTTAAACATTTCAAATTTTCAAGAAAATATTTGTTAAAGTAAATTTTATATCAATTATCACTTTGAAAGATAAAATATCAATCTGTTATTCAAGAAGTTCATTGTTTTGTAATAATTTATTATTAATTGTGGCTTCATATAATATTGTATATTGAGAGAATTTTACTTGTTTTTGTAAGTTCGTAACAAATGAATTTGCGAAAAATAAACCCAATTTTTAATGACAAAAATAGTATTGTAATACTATTATTTTATCCATATATAAATAATAATACTATTTTTTAATTCTTACTTTTAATACTTAATCCATTAAGTTAACTTCTTAATGATGTTTTATCAATTTCAAGCTTCGGTCAAAAAATACTATTTTTAAAATTTCACAGCAAAAATTGCACTCTACTTAAACCAATTAATTATCAAGTGTCCACACCTATATAGATAAATATATATTTCTATTTATAGAAAATAATGAGTGTACAAATTTTACTTCAAATTCAATAGGCAAAAGATACTGAAATTATTAATTAATTATGAAATTAATAAGGGCTATTGTTATGCTATAAAGTCAATCTATGTTCCAGGTGGTAAGTTGTGGGTGTAGGATATCTAAATATAAATTTGGGTCAAACTGATTTTCAAGAAAGTGATAGTCATCGTTTATAGAAACTGTAACAAAACTACAACCATATAATGGATGGGATTAAAGATTTACATGCACGGAGAAAATTTAACAACGAAGTTTGAATAGTATGAAGTAAAATCATCACATAAAGTTCGTTTAAAGATAATAAAGTTAATATTTTTAGATGGACTACTTTATTATTTTAAACTACATACTTATTGAAATAATTAGAAACGCGTTGTACATCTGAATAATTTAGTTTTATTGAAATGAATATTTGCAAAAGTTAGATAAGAGTATCTTCCTACTGTACAAATAATAAAAAGATAATTCTTCCTTTATCAAATCAAATACCTTTATATGATTTATATTTTGTATATTTTATAAAAAAGTAACAATATAAGAAAGCGCAATTAAGTATTTTTCTTGTTAACTTTCATTCTTTATAGCTGACTGTGACACTTAAATATTAAATAATGTATCTTTTAAAATATCTTAATGATTCCGCTGTATTTATATTCCTCGAGCAACTTTTTTCCAATATTCTCAATATGATATAACAATACCATAACAACATAGAAGATAATAATTAGAATTAAGATATTTTAACAACATACATATAAATTTAGATATACATAACAGAAGGTTAATGTAGTAAGTACACACAAACAATCCAATACATAAAGAGATTTCGATCGGTTTAAAACGAAAATTTAATATAATTAATTGTAATCTATTAGTTTGGGTTACCAACTGTTATTATTTCTCTTAAAATAAACTTCTGAGGTTGATTTTGAAGATTTGTTTATTTATTCGTTTCTATGGACACAGAGTTAACAAAACCATTGAAATTACAGAATATTTTATGAAAATTAATTCAAAATTAAAACGATAGCAGTCCAATAACAGACTGTTATATGTACTTTATTTATATATAGAGAAATGAACATAAGATTATAACCACCATAACTTATTTAGAAGTCAAGTGAAATAAACTTTATTAACATAAGATATAAAGTTTAAATTTGAACAAAAAATAAGTGTAACGAATCCTAAATCCAATCTATATTAACTTTAACTTAACTATGTCTTGTTTTTTTGCGACCAGTACAAGAAAATTGTCAAGTCGAAAACAATGCAGAAGACTACCAGCTCGTTGGCTACTATGAGAGGAGTTCTGGTTCTCATTCTGGTCATCTGCTTGGTCGAATGCACCACGGGTAAGCCTTATCATATAACCATTTTCTTATAACCTTAGATCGTAAAGCATCCATTTCATATATCCACATAATTCAGTCAAAACTTTTATTACATTCTCAATAAATCTTCTAAATAGACTAGCTTAGTTTACTAACTTTATTGTTCGTAAATAAAGTTTAGAAATAACTTGATTTTATTATTTTAAGTTAAGGAAAAATTAATAGTTTTTCATACATTAATATAATAGATATATTTTATATATAATTCATTGTAAATTCAACATGTCACAACTTCGCTACAGCCAGCCTTCTCATGCCTACATTCAATAGTATATGGCTGTATTTCGTAACAGAAAACGACTGAGTGAGCTCATATGAGTTCTTTAACGGTATTAAACATTGCCATATGGCGAGATTATGAGGATATATATCCTCATAATCTCGTACAAACGACACAACCTATATTTTTCTGTTGACGTCTTATTAAAAGGGATATAGCAAATGGAAGGGTTTGTTAAGTTACGATTTAGTTCCCCTCACTGACATGCTTCGCTTAAACCATATAGAGATACTTATATAAAAATATTGAAATAGTAATAAAAGAATATTCCTAAATAAATAAATGCATTATTATATTAGAACGAACATTTTATTAATTGTAAATAATTTTATGGCACTAAGATTTTTTCACACTTTTCGTCTTCGGAAAATAGTCACACATTAACTCGGCGGGAGGTGCTACCGGATAAAATTTACCACATAGTGCATACTTTCGAAAATATTTATTTTTGTAAGTAATTTTGTGCAGCGCCGTTTTAGATACCTTTCGACAGATGTTCGACGGTTCGACTAATAAAGAAAATAGTGACGAAAGAGACCTAGAAGAGATTACTTGAAGGTGTTGTCTCTTGTATTGCCACAAATTATGTGTAAATCTACCACCTTAAACCTGCCTACATACATTTATGAAAAGTAAAATAATACTTTTACTTGGTGGTAATGGCGAGCAAAATAATAATATTCCGAATAAACAACAGGAAAGAGCCCTCCAGCCACACTAGCAAATATTTCGTTTTGTGCACAAAATGGCTGAGTTTTTGGGCTACGTTTTAAAATTTCAAATATAACATATTATACCAAGCGTTTATTAGTTTCCAACTGTCTTGTTTAATTGAAAATGTAACACAATATAATATAAAAATTGGTTATATTTAATTATCCATAAAATAACTCTAGTTCTTACATTAATATTATTGTGGTATTTTTTACCCAGTAGCGACAGTCAGTGTTGGTATACGGGGTGCGCTTCCCGCCGAGTTAATAAAACTTTATATTATAAAAACAGTTGTATAATTAAACCTGTTACATATATATTCACATTGTATATACAAATAAATCATCACGAACGTTTCAGTAGCCCAAGTTTAAAAGAATTACAAACACTTTAATTATAAGTGAGTATCATATTAAGTTTAAACTTTATTAAATCATTTATCATGCTTCCATATATTAAAAAACATGAACATTAATTTATATCTATTGAGACGAAATATCTTAGCATTCAATTTATTCACCGTGCGGTTGCCGGGTCCATCATTGCAGGGAGAGGAGCTTCAACAGTGCCTGGGACTTGTGCCCCAGGTGTAGGTTTAAGAGGCCACTATCTAACGCGCGTTATACGCTCACCTCCACTGTCCAAGCTTCTCTCTCTACCTTACCAAATTTGAAACGAACCTACCGGGCCTGCATTCGAAGCACGCTCTAAAAATGAGTTGATGTTAGTTCTGGATAGGCCCAAATCTTCTAGGAGATTGTAGAAGGATGTATCGTATTGCATTTTTGCATATTAGGAACACGAACTTTTTACTTGCTCTTAATTATTACTTCACTCATTACTTTACGTATTCTATAATATTATTTATTCCTTATATGTATTATGGCTAAAATATCTTTCAATACATTAGAAAAATCTATTGAATGAATCTATTCTTATTCCACATATAATAAGTTCATCACTTAAATGAACATGATAATAAAATTTATAAATATATAAGTGTATTCGAGTAGATGAAAACGTATTTATACTTTTAATACATTTTCTTTTTCAATTTCTATTCTAACTTATGATACAAATATAAAAGAAGGATAAATATAACATTCTTGATATTATTATGTAAATAATAATTGAAGAAGATAGATAAAAGATATTTAAAAGTAATTACATATATATCCAGAGTAACAAAACTAAATAATTTGACACTATTTAGACAATATTACTTAGTTTATGCAGTATATCTAATAAATACGAAAAATATTTCGATTTCGATAAACAAATTGGAAAAATTACACATACTGCAGAAAAATATTATTAAAACATGGAAAAAGTATATTTTGAAGACAAAAATAAAAAAAACTGTGTTAGAGAATTGTCTTCATACATTCAAACATATGCTTAATTTGATATACATAAAAAATCGCTTATTATACTTATTTATTTATTTATATTTTTTACTCAATAAATGTCACCAATGATATTCATTTACTTCACATCTTACCTTTTGATAAATCCCTCAAGACAAATAAGTTTACAAACTACAACATAAAAATTGTTCCCAAATTATGTTATTTACCAAATATTTTGCTGCAAACTCCAACAAGTTAAAGTAAATCTCCTCACCTACTTTATTTAATATAATAAATAGAATTAGAACATTTTGCTAAGACGGCAAAACGATCATTATTATTGAAAGCGAGCACGTAACACTTCAACTAACTCAATTGTCTTAAACTTGTACAGTTTTGACAGATCACATATATTTTTTCTGGCGTTTTTATTGACTTTGTCGAGATTTCTTGACCATCGAAACATGGTATGATTATAAATGTTCTACATAAAAATAGGCTATACACATTCAGAATACACTTATATATACATATAAAATGTATATCTACCCTAATATATTTTCTGCAGTGCTTAAAATTTAATTTCCTCTTTAAAACATATATTATATTGAAGTTTTATTTGTTGGTTCTGTAATAGAACATAAACAATTCATTAGATTTTGATTAAAATTTTTATAGTTAATAATGAAGATGTCCTCAACTTCCTTTATTTTTTGATTGATTTCTTTAAAATATATGATCATAATATTCTTTTCAATAAAGCGTTTTCTTTTCATTTAGTCTATAAACGTTAACATACTTAAACTTTAGGTAATAATTTATAATTATTTTCATAAATATGGTGCCATGATCCAGAGTCTTTAATAATTTTATCACGCGCTCCGCAGATCTTACAAATGAAGTCGTAAAACGTATGTTTGCCGATAATATTAAAACCAGATATTAATATATCATAACACACAAACATTCAATAAAAACGAATTATAATATTAACTTTATTATGAATTGAAACGTAACAAAAAATTATCGTAAAAAAATCCCCCATAAAATGCGTTTAATTATGAAATATACGGAAAGTAAATTTCCGGATATTAAGTGTCGTGTTTATTATTATATTAATTACGAAAGGTTGTGAACTTCCCCGTAACAGTTTATAGTTGCCGTGCATATTGAGGTAGGTCACCACACATCGGACATAGAGTAATTAAAACTTTTTATTCATTACTTATTTAATTATATATAATTTGTTAATATGAGAATAACATACGCCTGTTTTTTACTAAATAATTATATAGGAATTGTAGAATTACAATATTTTTAAAGTTATTATTTTCTTTACAATAAACTACCATAAAAGTTAGGTTTTCATCGAAGAATCAAAACGTATTCAAGTCTTTTTCAATACTATTAATCTTCTCTTTTAGGTAAGGACTTGATACTTCTTTCAGGCGACTAAACGCCATAAAAACAATTTGTTTCCCGCGTGTAATCTGTCCAAATAATACACGAATTAACCGACACATTGATTCCAATAAGTCTAGTTTGAAGCAATAAAATTTATTAATATGATGAAATATATAACACATTGTATGATCCTTATAATAAAATTTCAATACTGTTTTACTCAGACACAGTTGAAACCGATATTTGATTAAAATAGTAGAACTATAATTTCCTTAAATAGATATAATATTATTTCTCTTGATAGTAGAAGACGAAAATAAGTATATTTATCCAATTTTCAATATATTTCTATAAGGAAAAACAAAACAATACCATACATAAGTCCAATAATATTATTTTTAACATGTAATCGGCTTTAGAATGCTATGGGAAGGCAATACAATAAAGGGAAACAATAAATGTGAGAATTTTTAATGAAACGCCGCTGGAAACCGACGAACATACGCCATTACTAATTCATCAGCATCAAAATATTGTACATATGTATAATAGTTTTAGTTTACATCATTACTTAATATTATGCACAAACATAATTATGTATATTTATTTACTCCTTTCTCGTTAAGACATTTGGCAAGCACTTCGTAGTCGCTTAATCGTCGATTTTACCGAGAAGACGTATACTTTATATGGCAAAATACCTCACAAAAATCCTTTAAATATATTCTTAATTATATATCTATTTAATTCACAGAGCAGAGAATAGACAATAGAGGTAGTAAAGCTTCGAATCTTATACAGAAAGTCAACGGGTGGCGCAGTCAACGCGGAGGTACGCACTTACCAGCACCCCCGCTCAAAGCAAAATATGATGTAGATAAGCTTTCCATTAGAGTACGCACGTATAATCAAATCATTAATCACTATAAGAAACATCTGTGTCTCCTAACAGAAATATAATTTATTTCAACGCACGTAACCTCTGTAGAATCATTACACTACGCTTTTATTAAGCTTAAACATAATGCGAATAGAGAATTAGCACGGCATAAAAATTAAGGCATGTACTTTGCATGTTTGCATTCTAATTGTATGATAATCGTGTTTCATAGAAGCCAGCCTTGTTCTACGTATCAATGGAATATAACACTGTCAAGGGTAATTAAAACTTTGACATATAAAGATATTATTAAAAAAATTTACATACAGTAATGACATTTATGTCCATCGTATATATTGAGCTTCGATGAAACGGTACTTATTAATGATAGTATAAGTACTATTATTGATTGACGCCATTTACAAGTGCACAACATGCAATTCAAACATTAATTCGTTAAGTGATGGCCTGTCTTGTCATTGTGACAATATAAACAGTGTTGTCATTTAAAAATATATAGAAATTAAATTTTACACGTGCCTCTACATCCAATCTTTTAAATTAAATTAATATAAATAAATGATTTAATTTTATTGATATATTTTACTAACAGACGATTTTATTAATTATAGAATTTATATGACATTTTATATAAAAAATTGTGAAATATTAAAGAGTGTTGAAGAGAGTATGTAATCTTCTTACGATATTTAAAACCGCATGGGAAATATACACTATTGAATATTGATAAAACGTATTGACTTTTATAAATTATTAGATAAATTCTTCTTTGCTTTTCACAAAGGAATCTGTGGCTTAAATAAAACTTTTATAATAAGACCTCCCATTGTAGATAATCCATTTACTTTGTGTACTATGCAGACAACAATAGTATCATTTTCCTATTAAAGTCACTCAATGTATGGGATAGCGGTCAACTTAGTTATGGTGAGTGCATTATGGCTATCTTAAGGCACTCTGATATATATGATTTAAGGAAGCACTTAGGTAACAATTTAGGTCATGAAAATAACATTTTTGTTCTAATTTTATGTAATACCTGAATTTTATTCTAATTTTGTTATAATGTAAGCAAAATTTAAAAGCTAATTAACATATCATATGTATGTATATTTGGAAGCGACAAAATTACTGAAAAGCGCTAACTGGAATGCGCTTTATACTGTGGTGCTAATGACTTGGTTAAAACTTGTCTCGTTTTTTACTAACCCAAGTAAAAACTCCGCTGGACTATACTAAATTTCTTAGGGAAAGTTATTTTTATATTTTATAATTATATTTTTTATTTCGCAGGATCTTGTCTAAGCTACGGACACTCATGCTGGGGTGGTAAGTAGCTTTCTATTCATCATTAAAATATCATTTCCTTTCGCAAAAATCTCCTCACTTTATGTAAAATAAAGTTCTCAATAAACCTTACCTGAATGAATTATCCGTGTTAATATGTGCTAATTAAATCAGGGAACAAATATAATAATTTTACGGAATACTAATTCATATTTAAATAACCTACCGCGGAGAAATGAGGTGTGAGCCACAAGCGTTATTCATTGTTAAAACCATCATCTGAGAAGTGGAAGAATTCTTAAACATATAATACATTACTGTAATTAGTAATAAAGGATTTAAAATTTAAGTAACGATGCCATGCAAAAGCATAAAATTCATAACTTATCTTCCTACACCTGGTTAAACATAACATCTTTATAATTATGTAATCATAATCATTTTTGTGTTAGAATAATCTCAAAATACCTACCAGCACATAAATGAATTCCTTCGTTTATTATGCAATCTTAATTGATCTGAGACAGAAACAACCAAAAGCTGCACGGACATTTGATAACATTGTTAAAAATTACTTTGAAAACGAGTAAGGAATATCATTTGTTTGACAATTTCCTTACCGTACCATGGTTTATCGTTTAGTGTAAAACTGAACTGGCAATATTCTTACCGTAACTTATATGTATAGTGTAACTTATATACATAAACTTTATAATGTATATCTAATATATAAAATTCTCGTGTCACGGTGTTCGAACTTGAACTCCTCCGAAACGGCTCGACCGATTTTCGTGATCCTTATCGAGGATACTAACCAGGGGAGAGAATCGGCCAATATCTATTTTTCATCCCCCTAAATGTTAAGGGTAATCCACCCCTAAATTTTTGTTTTTATTTTTAGGCAAAATTTTTTGTTTTTATTTTTTTATGACACACTCTGAGATCAACCCTTATTTTTTATTTGTTAATTAAAAACTTAAATTTTTTGGCAATTTTTTTTTATTTTTTGATGACTTACAATAAAAAATCTCAAATTACTCTAAATTTTTCACCCCTCTACGATCAACCCCTATTTTTTATTTGTTAATTACAAACTTAAAAATAAATAAGACATAATTTATTTCTTGATTGAGGCAGTACGAAGTCTACCGGGTCAGCTAGTATATATATATATGTTCTAAAATAGACATAAAAAAAGCGTCGTTAGCAATTATAACATCGATTGTGGTCAGGATTCTTATCAGAAGCCTTTAATCCTTCATATCTGCTGCACCTGGCGGCTCTGTGTTTAATGTCAGTTAAATTGAAGTTACTCAGTTAATATTACAACTACACACAACGTTTAGAGCCCTGTAGATTAATTTTTATCAGCCGATACTTCATTCAGTTGTTAATAATACGCTCTATAGCTACTATTTGAATAAAGGTGGCACTTCACTTGGCGTTGCGTATTTGCTGCATTTGTCCAAATATTTGTACACAGTCCAAATAGCGCAAACACGACCCATTATTTGTACGAATATGTCAAATGAAGACGAATATATCCTCTACACATGGTCTTATTTGGCCGAACACAACAAATAAACGCCAAATGAAGTGCCACTTTAAAATGCAATAAAATGAAAGCACTTTTGATTAATTTCATACAAGGAAATAAAAGTTTATATGGATAAAATAATATATCATAAAGTTAATTAAGAAGTTAATAATAAATCATTCTGATACATTTCTGCTGAAGAAAAACGACGTTTTAGAAAATAATACCGTACTAGAATTTTTATATGTATTTGTATTTATAATGTTTTATTTAAAATGAAAGTAATAAGCTACATTTTCGATATAAAATTAAAAATATATCTTCACCTAAATTACGTTGTGAACAAAGCAATATGGATGCCTTTTAATAACAGTTGTCATTTTAATCCCGTCAAAAAACGGGTACAGTTAATTTTAAATGTAACAGGTTAAGCATTAGTGTGTTGTCGTTTAATATGGTAACGTAATTACAACATCAATTTACAGATTAAAGTATTATATAAAAGGGCTTTTGAATATCTTTTACACGAAAAAGTTATACATTAAATTTAATATAAATTCACCACAGATAACTTTAAATATTCTGTTGTCAAAACCACAGATTACTTATTTTTTGACATTCATCCTTTTTTTATTAATTAAATTGATTTGTTTTCATTGGATTTATTGAATATTGTATACTTATTAAATATCTTTCGTATGTTTTATTGTTAATCATTTAGAGAGTAATGTAATATTTCAGCTCATGGCAAGAGGTCTGGCAAAGCACCTTCTTCTGCTCCAGATTGGTACATCACCAGAATCCTTCGACGAATGGCTGCTAACAGTGAACTGGTGAGCTAGATTATTATTATTTATACAGCATAGAAATGTATAAAGAAAAGTTGCTTCAGAGCCATCTATGTATGTTTTCAGAATAACTCCAGGGACCTTGACTCTCGTACTACTGGCGACATCTATCAAGCAAATATGGAAGATTTACCTAACAAGTTCGTGTAAGTATACAGAACTAGCAAAACCCAAAGACTTATTTGATAAATTTGTCTACAGAGAGGGCGGTAGCGAGACAAAACTTTGAACTTTTTCACAATAGATGTCACTACTTGTTCATTCCAATGCGAAATTTAGCAGTAAAAGCTTCGAAGAAACCAGCATGATAACGTAGTTATTTAATATAAATAACACTAGGTTTTTTGCGACGGCGTTGTCCGTTTTTTTCACCTAACAATAAGCTTCATCCTTGCCTATTTAGTCGACTTATTAAATAAGAAAAATTCTGCATATAATGTCAGCTCTGTTACAAATTACATGAACAGATACACGCAATTTTATATGTAAAGCTATAAGGATTTTTATCTTAATTTTAAGTATGAAAATAATTTTTTCAGGATTGATGCCGAAGTGAATTCAGATATTGCTACAAAGCAGGCGGCCAAACCTATGCTAGACGACGACCTGCTCTCCAATATGAAATTCTGGCAAATGATGGTATTAAAAATGTTAAAAATTAATAATAATAATAATAATAATATACTTTATTGTACACCACAATAGCATAGAAATTTAACAATGAAATATAAATAAAACATTAATTATGTTGCACAATAAGGCGGTCTTATCGCTAGGTAGCGATTTCTACCAGACAACCTTATGGGCTTAGGAACACAGTCGTGATTTGAGAGACGGGTGGTGTAAAATGTTATAATCGTACAATTTATATTAAATAATAATAATTATCATATGTACATACACAAATTCATACATACATACATACATATATACATACATACATACATACATACATACATACATTAAAATTAACATAATACATACATACATTAATACAATTATTACAAAAAAAAATCACCGATTGAGATGAACGCTTTTAACTATTCAATGCTATTACTTCTAGATCTATTTATTAATTAAAATATGTAAGAATTTAAATTTATTTAATAGTTACGGTCGAACTGGTGTCATTGTTATTAATTTAATTAAATTTTAACACATTTGTGTGACGAGAATTCTATCGGTATATGAGAGCTATGTATGTATATTATATTTGTCTGAGCTAATACTTCAACCTTATTTATACGATAATATATTATGTGCTTAACACATTGATAAAGAATTAATCTATTCATTATATTATAAAAAATTATAGAATTATAGCCAAAAACCAACCAAATGTAATATTATTTTGATTTAAAAAGTAATACAAGCGTAGTCCAAGATACTTTGGTCACTCTACATACGACGCGTTTAACGTTTTTACTTCAATAATCTTCGTGTATACTATAATTTACGAGTATACATGAATGAAAAACTGTTAACTTTTGATTATTAACTATAACAAAATACTGCACTAGTGATCTTCTTCTACCTGGCAATTTCCCTACTTTAGTCATTGTCTGCCTTACCTACATGTTATGAAAAGTTTTGGCTACTTGTTTTTACGACCGGCCGCCTGCCTGACATCAACCCTCTTTGGGAATGCTTTGATCAGTGATATCTAAATACTCTTAGAATGTACATATGACTTGGAAAAGTCACATTGGTACTTGCCAGGATCGAACCCGCGCCCTCATGCATGAGAGGCGGGCCTTTTAACCACTAGGCCACCACTGACTGCATTAGTGATGTTCAGTGTTAAACTAGTATCGATAAAATCAATTTAACTAAATCGTAATATTCACAGTTATTAAATTATCTATAACATTTCAATCTCTTTGTTTTACAGAAGGCAGCCTCAGAAGACAACTAATCATTGACTGATTTCACATCACAAATACTCCGGATTCAATCCCAAGGCTGGGTTGGGATTGATTTGTATATATATCATAAATATATAGCATAAGATCATGTGCCATTATATGACATACCATCCTAAAACATATCGTCGGGGTTAGTGTAAAACCGCGTAACTGCCAGCGAGTAATTCCGCGTATCTACATTGGAAGAAAATTATCAGAAGAAAGTTTAAGCTGAAATATTTACTAAATTAAACAACTTTTAAGGTATTTTTTTCACAGTGAGTAAAAAATTAAACACTGAATAATTACTAATTGTGAAAAAAATCCTTAAAAGTCGTTAATTTAGAAAATATTTCGGCCCAAGCCTTCCTCCGATAATTTTCTTCCAATGTAGATACACGGAATCATCCAATGGTAGTTACGTGGATTTGCACTATCCCCGACGATATATACATAGATTGTTTAACAAATAAAACTATTCAAAATATTACAGTACAGATGAACTAAGAATCTTCTAATCTATTTCGTATGATACTTAAAACTCTTACGTCATGTTCAAATATTTGTGTATTTTATCATTACATCAAATATTTCATATATAAAATAATATATTATTATTATTATGTGAATCATACAAATTTATTAAATAGCTCAATATATCATTGTAGATTATATGATATACATGTTTCACTGTTGGTGTTGATTATGAAATTAAATAAAACATGCTGTATACGGGGCACATCTGGTTTTGTTATTAAACTGAAATCCCTTAATTTACTTAGACTTATAACACTACTTTTTCATCATATTAAATTTCGTTGATAGTAATTAAAATAACATATTAAACCATTAGTTTTATGTTTTTAACAATAAAATAAGATGGTTTAAACACACACATATATACATATGTATAATGAATATGCAAAGAAAATTAGGTATTGCTTCTAACGTTACGTTGCTCGTATGATTCATCCATAAATTTGTCCTTATATATTATACAGTAGTATGAAATACATTTATTAGTAGTTGTTATACAAAAACAAACATCTAAAAGCCCTTTAAATTAACAAAATTACATATATTTTACATACATATACATAAAAGAAAGTTGTGTTAATTACACTATTTATAAATAAAGAACGGCTGTAGGGATATAACTGAAAATTGGTGGGGAGGTAACTTAGAACAAGCGAAAGGACGTTGAATATTTCTGTCCTATCGTTAAATAAAAAACAAAAAACTTAATAAATTCCAATATCTGTTTATTTATGTCCTCTATAGCGGATTAGTGTTCACCCGGTCAGCTATACATGTATTACTTATTCCGAAATTAACGCGGACGAAGTCGCTAGCAAACAGTAGTTTCTAATATATTTAGGCTTTTCTACTTAGATGTTATAGAAAATGTTATATCCTAATGGTACCCTTAAAAATCTTTATACATACTTTCAATTAAAGTAATTCTGGCAGATGTTAAAGTAAAACAACTGACTGCAGCCGACATAAAGGTAACTTCACTAAAAGCATTGTTACTTGTATCCCTTAGGATAGGAGAGTTAATTGTGTCTTACTAATGTAGTCTAAGTTAGAAGAGATAGCGAGTAATGTACATTATCAACTATAGCGCGGATTCAAATTCAAAAAAGTATAGATCTTTTGAAATTATGTAAAAACATCTTACTATTGGAGATATACTGAAAAGGTTTAGATTTCCACTGGTTGAGTTTAAATACATCTCAAAGTTGGAACTGCTAACAGCTAACTTTGTACTTCCCAACTGTTCTAATTTCGATCTAAGCACAACTAAGAAGTGTAATAAGGGAAAAACACAAAAGTGTTCAAACGAACTTATTCATGCGAAAAAAAGAAGTAGATAGGAAAAAATCTTGCACAGAGAAACATCTAGAAGACGGGATAACTCAGAATTTCACAAGAAACATATAAGCTTATATAAATATTGTTTACTAAACTACCTCAACACAATCATTTTTTGTTTATTGTACTATGCCTTCATTCACACTGGAATCGTCGATTATTTTACTAAAGTCAATATTTTTATTTATTGGATGAATTATAATCTTGAGTTCCGTAAATCATTTCATTCACTTATCGATCTTCAAAAGTATGTTGACGCTATCATCCTATGAATTAAATACTTTACACTAGTCAGAAGGTTGCCACAATATAAATACTTTTTGGCAACTTGCTAATCTACGAATTACTTGTGAAGTATCCATTTTAATAATCATAAATCTTATTTTATGAATTATGAGGATAAAATGTCCCAGAGACATTGTTTAAAACACAAATAACATAACGTAGATGTAAAAAATATTATAGACTTTAATGAGATGTACCTACATTTAAATCTATTTAATTGTATGTAACAGGGCTATTATTTTTTCATCGGCAGCATGGCATGTATTTTCTAAGATAAATAATTAAACTATTATATTACCCCAGTAATTTAATAAAAAATTTTAATGATTTATATATTACGTTGATTTATTTTAGGATTAAAGTATTAATGAAATTTATTAAATATATTTTTTTAAATATATTAAAAAAAAATGTTTTTGGGCGTCCATGAACTGTAATCATGATATTTGTTATATATAAAGATATATACATTCCCAATACAATTTTAAATACTAAAGCTTAAACATTTCCACTTAAAAAACGTCACGCAAAATAGTTAAAGTCATGATATAAGAAAACATTTACATAAAACCTTTTTTCTGAATGGTATAAATTCAAACCAATTTATTTAACTACAAAAAAAACATTGGTATAAATGAATACAAATGTCAAACCGCTAAACAGTTGACAGCAGAAATTAACAACGCGATGTGATGAAAATGAGGATTTATGCAAACATAATCCCCGAACTATTGTGGGATTTATCAAATATTTATTCTATGACCGTCTAGAGACTCGTTACAAAACATTTACAATCGAAATATCAGAGCAGTTTGATTGTAATTTTAATATATTTGTAACTTGGATGTAGTCATAAATTAATGCAATATATTTGAAGTGTTTATAGAAAGTAATTATATTGTGTTAAATTGGATATCAATAATTATAATTAGTTCTAAGACTTTCGTAAGTATTTATTTCTCTCCAGCCATGTAAGGTCCACTGCTGGACGTAGGGCTTCAAGGAATTCCAAGCACTACGGATGGAGGCGGCCTGCATCCACCGTGAACCCGCGGCCTTGACTAGACCGTCCGTCCATCTCGTTGATGGACGTCCGACGCTGTATTCATTTAAATGGAATTAATATTATTCGGATTACTACGCGTATTTTATTATTTAAAAAACAACTACATACTCCTGATATTTAGATCACTTTTGAGCAACCGTGGTCACGGGCAGACGAGATGTGATCTGTGTAGTTTTTCTCTTCCTATATACTTCTAAATGATAATTTTATGTCTTATTAAGTTCCGATTTATTAAACTATACAAAGTATATCTATTAATAGATATTTTTCCAGCAATGAACAGTATTATATCTTAAGTATTAGTCTCCCTCAATAGATGAAGTCACTAATGTTGTTCGAGCTATTTATAGCACACGAAATATAGGATATAAGTTTTTATTTTCAGTCCAAACATATATTAATAGTTTTAGAGCTATTTCATTTTACTCGGAATATAAATATTAAAGGTCGTTAAGTCAATAAAACAACGTACGTGCAATATAATAATAAATAATATCGTTATGTCTATATCATAATAAAGTTCTTAAAGCTGTCTTTTCATTATTGTTATTAATAATCAAATATTACATTCAACGAAAACCATAATTATGTCATATTAATTAAGAAACATTTTTACTTATCTCATATTTGCTTATCCCTAGTATTCAGATTTTTCTGATATCAAGACTTTAAACAAGTTTGGAAATGTATAAAACTTCAAATCTGCTTCATATAATATCAACCAAATATATTTTTCAAGTCATTCACTTTATTTCTATTCAATAAATATTCCAGACAGTGTATAAATACACACTTATTAAAAAGAGTCTAAGTTTTCAATCAACTCAATATTTGTCTATAATATTTATCTTTTAAAACTAATATCTTACTTATTTTTATTTAAATATAGATTTAAAGAAAAATTATCTTGCTTTACACAAAGCAAGCGAGAAATTTAATCATAATATCAATTTATTTCTATAAAGACCATTAAATTACTGACTGCCAATTAATAAAGATAGTTTACATACTAATGAGAGATTTGAAATTGATGGAAATGGCGCCTTGCACTTGAAATATAATAATTTATTTGAGGTAAAAAATATACCTTATTATTCTGATAATACGAAATTATGGTAAGACTTCATTAGAGACATATTTAGTTACCATGTCTAGAAACACTAATCTTCTATATATATAAAAATGGATTGCTGTTCCTTAGTCTCGCTAAAACTCGAGAACGGCTGAACCGATTTGGCTAATTTTAGTCTTGAAATACTCCTGGAAATCCAGGGAAGGTTTAAAAGGTGAGAAAAATTGATTCATTACTGGAAAAACCATAAAAACAGCCCTTTTCTATTTCCCATACAAAAGTTTTTTTAACATTAGATTTGACAACTAACAAATATGTCAATTCTGTTTGATTGAAACAGGAAAAACCTGATTATTTATGGCCTGTAAGACGGAATAGAGTTCGATTGGTCAGCTACACCTACATATATTACTCTTGACCAAACTAACGCGGACGAAGTCGCGGGCAAAAACTAGTAAATTAATAATTTCAATTATTCTCTGAAAATAATATAACGTCACTATTTGTAAAACAGATTTTTCAATGTTTTCTGAAAACCTTCTTATTTATTTGTACTCTTTTATGCAGTAACCAAAGAGGCAGAACAAAGATGAGATATATTAAGTCCACGTTTTTAGACTGAGAACAGACTTTTATATGACCAAAAAAAACTTAATTTTGAATATTTTTTATTCATCATATCCCGCTTTTATTTGGTAATACAGGTCAAAATT